CCTGCCACTAGCTTGGATTTCTTCTCTAATGCAATATGCTGTAAACTTCCCATGAAACCCTCTAGAAATAATTTTCTGCTCATAAACCTCTCGTGAACTACCCTAATCAATAAAACTAGCTACACGTTTTAAGAATTCCTATAAATGTAGTATAAATCCGACACCGGATTTCGATATTCTTCGGATTTGTTCCTTAACTTGAGTCCTAATAAAGAAAATTGAGGACTAGTAAATGCAATCCTTGAATAAAATCAGTATTGTATCTCAAATGAAGCCGCGCCACACGGATCTAAATTCCTTCAATATATCTGATATTTAAAAGCGATTACTGAAACACGTTGATACCGAACTTTCATGATTCTACCATGCGTAGTAAAAACCGACATGCGTTTCTACTATGCATGCGGAAAAGGGATTGCGAAACACTGTTTTTAACTGCAAGAAGGCAGATGGTAAAGAAAGTTTCAAAATGATCATAATTAATAATTAAAAAGAAAAATATTAAATTTTTTTAGTAATTAAAAATTTTAACAATATAAAGTAATTAAAAATTTTATTTAGTAGTAATTAAAAATGCGACGAAACATTCTGTAGCAAATAAAAATATATTACGTAATTTTAGTTCCAAATTCGGAATCTCTAAGGACCCTATCAAATGAAAACTCAGCTTGAAAATGAGCATCATTCGATCTCAAAAAACGGTACTAAAATGGTAAGTTTTTCTTAATAAAGAGCAAATCTGCAGATTGACTACTCTTGTCTATTAACCGTTATTATCTTCACTAACAGCTATTTTACATTTCTTTTACGGAGAAGTGGTGGGGGTGAAGATTTCTGGAATCTTTCTAGAAAACTTCCGTTCTCTTGATGTTACCCACATCTTACAAAAACGTTTCCGAGTCACTGTCAAAATTTTCCTCATTTGGTTTTATTTTTATTTGGGAATGCAGTCAGCCTTTTATTTGCCTGTGAAGTATTTAGCTTTAATTTATGGATATAAAAACTACTTTTGTTCAAGTTTAGATATTTATAAACACTTTTTGTACTTTGTCTTCTTGTTTCATTTATAAAACACATTAAAAAATAATTTACAAAAATGTATATGTTTTTTTTTTTTTCGAGTTTTGAAACGAAGGGAAACAACAGAAATGGAGAATCATACACAGATAAAAAGATCTCCCAAAAATACGAAAAAATTAAAGCCGCGTGGAAAACGGTAAGACCGTACATCATATGCTACAGGAATACGAAAAATGTCAGAAACAAAGTATTAGAAATTTCATATATATATATATGTAATATTAAAAGCACAGGAAAAGGAAAAGACGGAGCAGTGTCGATGCGAGTTTAGATCCATATTGAAGAATTTTGATTGCGTAGTATTTAAAGAACTTGGCAGTCGAGGCAGTTTTACTTCCATTTTTATTTCCAATTGATATTTGTGGCCACAATCACTTGGCACTCTAGTCGTGCCTTTCCACAGAAGATTTACATTTTTGATATTGTTGGGATAGAAAGCAAGCCAGCGAAATCACATCTTAGCACAGTAGCGAGCAAAAGCTAAAGTGCGTAGTTATGAAAGATGGAAGCAAGTGAAGAGAAAAGTTTTGGTTTACAACGACAGTTTCAGTTCTTAATTATTACGTCATCGGAGTTGCGCGGGCCATAGAGTGATCTAGAAATGACGCAATGCAGAGAAGTTATTACGATTAAAAGTTTGGTCCTGTAAAGTATAATTTACAAATATCAATTTTTTTAATAAATTTTTAATTTTTAGAGTCCTATTGAATTTTTCAGCATTTCAGTCTAAAAGTCTTTTTGTTTGAGAATTCACATAATCATAATTCTTCAGGGAAGGTTCTTGTTATTACAGAATATCACAAAATAAACTTTTACACAATCATTACTTATAATAAAATGCAATGCACATAAATATTTATGATACTTATTTCCATTTCCATACTGATAAATTATAATTTAACATGATAAATAATAGGATTAAGATTTTCAGAATTTATGGTTTCACCGTTATCATCTTTCATTTACAATTCCTGATTTTACCAAACTGGAAGCCTCGCAATACTTCTAAACAAACGTATCCATCAATAGGGCTGTCCTCTTGAGCTAACCAGTGTGTTCTCTGCACTGGTGGCCCAGGGTGCCTAAGCAGTTACTTGAAAAGGCCTCCGTTCCTTGCCTTAAGATAACTGGCCTTTGAGAACTGCACTAATACATTCCATAATAAAAAAATATAATAATAATACAAAAAAATTACAAACACTCATAAAATGAGAGCCTCCAACATTATCTTACTTGAAGAGGGTGAAGGGAACAACTGTACAGAGGTAATTACAGGCCTCTGTTGAAGGAACCAGTACACCCTCATCATACTATAATTAACACACAATAACCCATAAATTTTAACATGCATTTACCATTACTCCATATTACATATCTGTAATAATTTCACTTATTCTAACATCTTTATTTTTAGAATAATTATAAAATTCGTATTCAAAATTCTTCTATAGTACTTAAATAACTTCTATAGTACTTCTGTACTTTCTAATTAAGGCCAAACCGGTTATTGTTAAGATTATTTAAGGAAATCTATGCATTTAGTGGTGTATCTAGTATTGAATATTTCATAGAACTGTGCATTTTTTAGACATTTTTTTGAATTTTGCTTTGAAATGTTTTTCTCCATAAAGTTATTTAATTAGAATTACATAATAATGCAATGCTAGTTACACTACGAAGGCACGCGGAAAGCAAACAACAAATATTTTAACGTTTAAGTTGTAAAGTGCTAGTATTTTAAATTGCCCTCTCTCCTGTTAAATCATTAAATTCTATAAATTACTATTTAATTTTAAAATTCGGAATAAATATAATAGTTTGAACGAGTTATAAAGTTTCATATTTATTCTGTTTGAAGTATCTCCAAATACAGTAACGTCATTAACGTTATTTATTTACTTTGTACTTTATTCATTAGAGAAAACACAACTGCGTTATTACTTATATAATATAATCACATTTCGTAAATTTATAAAAAAATTACGTTACAGACTCAAACAAGTAATGCAAACTACAAAACTATCGATTCAAAATACAAAACTTATCGTGGCAAGGAGTGCAAGATTGCGCCTGTCGTGGGCAAGAGCCCTGAGCACTATATGAATGATAGTTCGATTTAGCTCAGCTCTGCCCTCAATTCTGGTGGAGATTACCCCAATGTAGACGAGTTCGAGGTTCTGGCACCCGCTTTTTATTTACCACCAACCTCTTAAGATGACTTTCGGCTCGCCGCATATTTAGGATGCACCCTTGCCGCACAGATGCTATACATTTAAACATCCACGCCTTCTCCGGGATTCGAACCCGCGTTTTTCGGTACAGCAGTCAGCGTCACTAACCACTATCCCGGTTGGGCATCTAATACAATATGCAACTATATATAGAATGCTGCAATTCACCCAAGTATTTTTGTCAACGCCTTTTGTAATTTCTTCAATCTCTCATACAAAAATAAAAGGGATTACAATTAAACGCACACAAAAATTAGAATTTTTTAGTGTACAAGAAAAATTTAACCTACGCCTTCTTTGTTACATAAAAAGTTATCTGAAATATTTGGAATACGCTTTTATTTTCTTTTTTCTTCATACTTTTCCTTAGAGCAGCTCAGCGCATTTCCAATCGTTTGGTGAATTTAATGCCTGTTTACAAACTTTATCCAAGCTCATATTTTTTTGTTCTCAAATTTTCAAAAATGCGAAACATTTCTGCAACTGCTCGAAGTTCTTTTCACTTCGGAAAGTTTCTTTTTTCCCATCTCTTAGTATTGGGTTCGAATTGCCTTGTTTTTATTCCCATGAAAATATTTTCAGGTATCTTTGCTAAAAATTCCTTTCTTGTGCTATGAGCCCGATTAAACTAGAAGTACAGGTGGCGGAAGACGAGAATATTTGGTCTTTAACGTTGGTAATCAGGTATTTATTATTATAATGATTTACGTGTTCCGCCCTAAGGAACTACATGTAAGGGAGGAATGCCTCCGTGGAAGACATCGTAAGGGAAACTGGCTCGTATTAACACGTTACATATGAAGAAAACACGAAAACGCCCATGCAGCCAAGCCCGTTCGCGGGATTCGAACCTCGGAATGAACTACTAGTGTTCAGGGACTTTACCGATCGGCCGCTGGTGGGCCTAAGGTATTTGCCCTTTACCTCTTCCTACCCAGAAACAACTCGTTACCGGTTCCCCAAATGCCACTTTGTAAATAGAATTTAACCATGATATATTGTGATGCAGCGGCATTTTTGTTTACAGTTGGTAGATATTGTTTACGTATGACAATTAATATGCTGATGCTTTAAACATTACAGTGGCAATACATAGATACACATATACAATGCATCTGCATACAGTGACAATAATAAACAATATGATGGCAATGCATTTGCATACAATATTTATACTATATACATTAATGATAATAATACTAATTTGTATCGTAACTGAAGTATGCACTTATGTTTTCTTTCTAAATTTACTGTTATTTTAAATGCCCGATAATTAACATGCTGACACAGATAAAAAATTATGTTCAGATTAATTATGCTTGGATCTGGTGGCACATGATAGAATTTACAACCATGTATATTAAAATGAAATAATTAGCTTGTACGATAGTTATTACTACTGTTCAGGTTTATACATTTGCACATTGGCAAAGCAAAGGAGGAGCTGGGACTTACTGTGTGGCAATAATTTATTGTCCAAGAAACGTTAAGATAATGATAATTTCGTGAAGTCGTTGCCACAAGATTGGATTCTTGAGAATATTCCTTTTGCAAGTGCTGATGTTCGTTGTTTAAAACGTAAACCACTGAAGTGAGTGGAAGGTTGCTGCGTAGTGGTCTGGTGGACCCTGTTCTGCACAAACGCGTATGTCTGCTTTCGAAATTAACAGGAGTTTGATACGCTATAAGTACATCATACAGGCGATCTCAAATCCTGAATTTTCTTGCATTTTAGGGGCATCAGCAGCATTATGAGGAACTACGTGTTATTTGACAGTCCATTAAAACTTCAAAGGATAAACCTTTAACTCCTGTTTTATATACAGGCTCTACTTGAGCTGTTTGTGATTTATTTCATGACGAAATACTGGTTCTTGTGATACAGGTATAGATCGGTAAATATGTGTTTACTTAGTATTGAAATATTTTTAAAAATACTATTCTCTCCTTGTTAAGTGAAATTCACTGATATTAAATGAAAGCAGGTTTCACTTAATAAACCATATTAATTCCAAAATGTTTCTATCAGAACCATGATTAGTGATTAATAATCTAATAAAAATTACTATAAATATACTTCGCAAAATGAAAACAGTAACATTCAGTTTTAAACTTTTTAAATTCAAAGCGATAACAATTATTCAAAGTTCAGATGAAGGCTGTATAATCATGAATTATTGCTATTTTTCTGATATTTATTAAAAAACACGGTATGCTATTCTTTCAAAATAGGAGACATTTTTCAGGATGCTTTGATTTTTATTATGTTTTATTTCTCTTTTTCCACATATTTCAGACAGCATAAACATTTCAGTTTTTTAACTTAATGATATAAATAAGGTTCTTATTCGTTGTATTTTTTTATTTTATACTGTCATTTAAAGAAACGGGAGACTGTTTTTTTTTCTAATTCTAAATGTAGGACGTTTTATAATTTAATTATGTAAAAGACGTGACTATGTTCATTCCGTGTACAATGCTTTCATTTAAAGAATTCAATTTTTTAAGAAGTACTCTGAATTTACAGTACCCGAACAAAATAATGTTTGATAAGAACTGAATAACGCATTTGAACGCTGTAGAAATAATTAGAATTCTCGAAACGAGGAGACATGAAATATCAGTTGTACCCTCACAGAGATTCGAGCCGTGGATCTTCCGTTTGCCACCTAGATGTGTTGACACTTTACACTATGAAACCAGGGGAGTAGAGGAGTGCTCTTTCTTATAACTACTACATTTGGGAAAGCTGCGATATACAACTAAAGCTCTAAAATATAATTTTAATGTTTATCTTTCAGATTGCAGAAAATGGAAGAAACCCAAGTAAATGATAACATTTCAAGTTTAATACAACAAAGAAGACTGAAAATATAGATTTTAAGCATCTTATTTTATTCGGGCAGTATATTAGGTCATATGTAATTTACTGCCTCAGAATAATCGTTCAGTCTTGCACTTAATATTGAAGTTCTTTCGAAACGGCTTGCTGTAATTGCTGCTACGTCATTGCTCGTTTACTTTAAAAATTTTATTGATGTTTTAGATAGAGTAGCTGGAGTATCGATTAGATAGAGTAGTTGGAGATATCGATATTGAGATACAGAATATACTGTATTAATTTTAATTTTATTTTACTCTTAATTCCCACCATTACTGACATTTAAAAAAAATGAGAAAATTCCTTACAAGAAGTGTTGTTAAAGGTATTATATAACACAGGAAGTATTCAAGAGTTGTTATTACGTGGAGAGTTTTATGTATTTTATTTTTTTATCAAAAACTAATCTTATTCAGTATAATTTGTCTGAGTTTGTTAAAGGTGGAAGATATGTTGAACAACGGTGATGCAATTGTGCGTGCCTGAAATGTCTTAGTTGGATTAGAAGCACTTGAAGCAAACCTTTTAAAACGCATCAAACATCTATGCACAAAATTAAAAATAAAAGAGTGAAACTTTATATTTATTCATAATTTCCAAAAATTATTCAGATTGGCTTCGCCAATAATATTGTTCGTTTAACTTATTTCTAGCCCAGAATGGCTACCAATGATCGAATATTAGGAATGCTGTTAGTTTCATCTGTAATTCTGTTTCAGTTATGACAAAGCAACTAGAGCTGTATCTATATATATATATATATGTCTAAGGGGAGGGATTCCTTCCTGGAGGACTTTAAAAAGTGAATCTGGCTCGTAAAGGAAACATGGAAAAACCACAAAAACGCTTATGCAGCCAGTCCTTTTGCTTAGAGATGAACCCAGGCTGAACTACCAACGTTCAGCAACTTAGTTCTCAACCTTAGGTCAAGCCACCACCCGGAATTCGATTTCCGAACTCAGAATAAACTGCCTATGTAAGAGTTTAGAGGTTTCCTAGTATGTCATGTAAAAACGAAACTTTTTTTTTCATCAGTTCCTATTCCAGACATCTCTTAAAGACGAAACCTTTCGATACTTCTCAACATTTACCTGTCTTTAGAATATTTTGAGTGCCAACATATCTTTAAAATAAAGTGCCATGATAAATATTAAGTTCATAAAATGAATTATGCACTTAATACTTGTTACGTATACCTAGAATGCATTATTCTGTCACATTACAAAACTGATGGTTCTCACTATTTTTCATCATTCTATTATCGAATTTTAGATAGGGCAAAAGAAAAATATTAGATAGAGTAGAGCTATGTCATTTGTTCTAATTTTTCATGTCATAGTGTCACAGCTGCAAACATTGCGTGATATTCTTCGGTTTCCGAGTTTAAGAGTCATGCATTTTACTTGTAAAATTCTGTACTGTGTATTTTTAAGTTACAGTTGAATGTGAAGAATCTTAAGATCTAGTAAGCGAATAATCGCTTGAGTTCGTGGGATAAGAAACAACAAGTAAAAAGGGTGAAATAACCCTTTATTATTCCAATAAGGTGTAACAGAACTCCGTCTTGGAGTTGTACAATAAAGCCGACACTCGCTTCAACTTAGCTTAAACTTAAGAGACTAAAAAAATACAGCTATCAAACTAACGGATCTAACGGAGTTGGCCCCTTAACGCTGATCGACTACGAAGCTATTAAGGGCTTAAAGTATTGCCGAGCGTAATAATAGCTTAAGAGATAGTAGCCTAAAATGGCGGACGCGTGCTAGCCAGAATCGCTGGTTCTCTGTAACTAAAACAGTAGAACTTCGCTGTTAAATACGCTCTTACTCATTTGCATTCAAAGATGATTCTAAAACTACGTTCTTAGAGAGTCTTAGAGAGTGTTCACTGTATTCCATGATAAATTTAATTTACTTGTATCCATTTCTGTTTTATCAAAAATATCGCTTTTGTAAAGCAACTTTCCTATGTGTTTTATCTGAATTCTATGGGTATTTCTTGTTGAATATCCCAGAGTTATTAATCGTCAACCAATGTCGGGAAATGAATGCATAACTGTGAGAGTCATTGAGTTTTACATTGTCAATTAATAAACGTTTTTTTTTCGCTCTAATTTTTTGCCTAAATTTATACACAAGTACTCTAAAGAGGAGCACTATTCGTATCTATTCTAGCTATGAAATTCACAATTCCCTCTAAATGGCAACTGAAAATGCTCGCACCTAGTGTTTATTGTAGCATTTCTAATCACATGCATCATGATCATAAACACAAAAAAATGAATAAATAAGTAAATGCATTCCTTATTAGTCTGATTATGAAAGTTAAGTGATATAAGTTTCATTCCGTTAGAGATTAAAGCGAATATATGAGATAATAACTTTTATAATGTTCTAATAACTTAATAATAACTTTTATAATGTTAATAACTTTTATAATGTTCTTCTTTAAACTAGTACTTAATTGCATTTCTTCATAATCAATCTGACCGTAAATTTTGCAATCATATGAAAACATTCCTAATGGAAACATTAGGTACATGGTTTATTAATAATCCCTAAACTTATGTTTCATGAAGTGTTGATGCATTCAATCGCGTTAATTGCTATTCTTTTAATTTCTAATCTTATTCGGAAGACTTTTACGATGTTTTTTAGTTTAAAAGCCTGTAGATTTATTTCGTTATTGAAACAAAGCCCACACTGATAACTTCTTATCCATATCTTGTTTTATAATAATGTGATGTTATTTCCTCATTTATGTGCAAATTATTAAAATCTTCGGGATGCTAAGTAAAAGATATGAAAATCCATGTGTGCTTATCTATTTATTGACCAATACACGAACTTTTGAATAGTGTGTTCAAAAGGTTTCAAATATATTTAAATTACAAATAAATATCACTCTTATCCGAAAATCTGTTTCCTCCAAAATGATGTCTTTTTCTTTTGTTCTTTTCAGGTTCCTCAATGTCCGAAGTGGTGGGCTTGTTCCCCCTCTTAAGAGGGCAAAGACTGACTTGCTGGGGGCCAGACCTTCTTTGCCCCGATTCACGGACAAAGAGCAAGCATCTATCGACTCTCTCTACAACAACGGTGAGACTTTATGTCCTCTATACTGTATAAGAGAAGACCCATAAAAGGGAAGTCTCTCTTACGGCTCTAATTTAATATTCAGTGCACGTCAGTTTAGAAAGATCGCACCTGTTAATATTTCAGAAAGCAAACATTTAACCATGTTTCAGTGGAAATTTACCGAGTTTATCTACCGACTTGATTAAACTTTCAGATTTTATGAAGGAGCATTAAGGTTCGGGACCAGCTGCTTAAAATCCTTTAAATTAAATTCATTTTTACAGATTGATAATATAACTCGGCAGTGACTGGACAGATAAAGCTATAAAATATTAATACTTAAATGAGAATTTGATTATTGTCATAAGAACATTATGATTGCATAAATAGTAGTTTCGTGATTTTTCCTTTATGCTAGGTTTTCTTAGTAAGTTCTCCATAAAGACTTCACACTCTAATTTGAGCCAACGAAAATTTGATATCGAATTGTTGTTTGTTGTCTTGTCCATGAATTTCATGTAAGAATGGTCGCCTCAAGGAGGTTGAACTTCAATTTCTACCCTAATTTTGAGGAAGAACACCGCGCGGGGGGGTAAGCAGGTCCTAGGGTCTTTCATTCCTTTCCGCTGCCACCAATCCACACGAGAGGACTTTCGGCTAGCCACACATTTACAGTGCCCCATGCCGCAAAGGTACTAAACATTTAAAATATCGATGTCTTTTCTAGGATTCGAACGCGGTCTCTTCGTAACCACAGTAGGCTCCCCATACCGTCTGGGCGGCTTGCTATCGAGTATTTGTCATAATTATATACTCCAATGAGAGTGGTTTATTTAACATCGTCATTTCAATCCTAAGGAAAATGACGCTATTCAGATGAGTCAAGACAATGCGTTTAAGCAAGCAAATCTGAATTGCACTATTTATGAATTGTGTTTTATATAGTTTATGCATGGACTCCAAGAGAAATTGACTAACCCAACAACATTTTCTTCCTGACTAGGCGATATTCCGCAGATTATCCCTCTGATTAAAGGCAGCGGATATGGAACGACTCAAGAGAATTTTATTATGGCTTGCTATTGTTCCGCTTATAATTTTCATCTTCTGTAGCTAGTTTTTTTTGCTGAACTCTTTATCTATAAAATGAAATGCAATATTTCTTGCTCAACTTTTATTGCAACAAAGCCATAGAATAATTTGCTGGAGTTTTAAATATGTAAATACTTTAAAATGTATCTTCTCTTTTCGAGAGGTTAAAGAGTTTCGGAACTTGAAGACCTAATTTCCAAACAAACTGAAATTTTTATAACTATTTCAAAAACATATCGATTTGGGATAATACTGAAAATACAGCAACATTGGAAGTTTCTAAAACGTTTAATTATTTTAGATGTTTTCACTAAAAGGTTATATTTTTCCCCTCCCCAATGGCAGATTATGAACAGTTACAGTTTTGTAACAGAGTCCATTAATCTATATTAAGGCCAGATGTGGTGGTCTCTTTATTATGGAGGTATCTAATAGGTGGGTCACTCTTGCCTCCTATGAAGGGACGGACAGTTACAACCACGCCTTCTACGGGACTCGAACCCAGGCCTTTCGGTATCGCAGTCAGGCTCCAACCACTATACCGTCTGGGCGCGGCTCTAAAAGGTTATATTAGTGATAAAAAACCTGAAGAAAACTGTTTAAATAATAAAAATTGTTTAGTTTAAAATAATAATAATAGTAATTATAGTTTTATTATTATTTTAAGGAAATATTCATTGTGGAATAATACTGACAATACCGCAATGTTGGAAGTCATAAGCAACATAGATTACCTGATGTTTTTTAAAAGAAGAATGCCTTCGTAGAGAAAAATTGGACCATTTTCGCATTATATATGGGTAAAATCACGAAACACAACAAAGTAACCCAGCCTATTCGCCTACAATGGAACAGGTAATTGAAATCCTATTATTCAGTGGCCTCGGGCACCGCTAGTATTTATTTAGAGATTAGAATGTAAGTTGCAGCTGTATGCTATTATGATTATAGATAAACTATAATTTAACAGCAAATTGGTTATTTAAATTTTAGTTAAAATCTAAATTTACATTAGCAAACATATAAAAGTTCTTTTTCGAAACATTTCAAAACAAATATATTATACTTGTAGTGTTACTAATTTCATACTAAATACTATTAAATTATTACTGATTATATAAATAGCCTGAACTTTATGTAGGCAAAAGCTGCACACAGCACGGAAGCTAAACAGGTTGTGCATCGAAGAAATTTTAAATTGTACGTGTGATGTGCAATCTCGCATAGTTCATCTGATAGGTGGCTTTATAGAGGCACTGAATATATAGAAGAAGTATCAGGTTGGCAAGAACGTAATTTTCAGTATTTAGTGTAAAATAAAACTAAATATTTTCGATACAAAAAGGGAACTTTAATGAGTAAAATATCTTTCATTCCGTTTGATGATCTTTTGCCATCTTTCTGCGAACTTAATGATTTAGTGCTCATAAGACATCTGGACTTAATCAGCAAATACCTGAAACAAGTGCGATTTGAAAGTCATCATTATTACCGCAATTTTTACCATTTAAGAAATTAAATAAAATTCTAAATAAAAGATAATTCGATAGTTCAAGGTCGGGCTTATGGGGGATGCGACATAACTTCCCAGCTAAGCTCCATTAATTTCGTATGTTAAGATATGTGATGCTTTGCATTGTCGTGGTGTCGATTCCTTTACGATTTTCCAATTCTGGTTTTTTTCCAGTTTTAGTTATTTGGCAGTAAACATCGGAATTGATCGTTTGGTTGCTTGGAAGCAGCTCAAATACACAGCACCTTTGTAATCCCACCAAATTGAAAGCATGATCTTCTGATACAATTTAGCTTGCGACATGATTTTTTCTAATTCATCATACCTGGACTATGATTTTTCCGAGCAATGTTATTGTAGACGATCCAGTTTTTGTCATCAGTGATAACGCATTTCGAAAAAAAGGGCTATTGTATTACCTTTCAAATGCTTATCACAAATATTGATTCGTCGTGTTAAGTGAATTTCTTTCAATTCCTGTCGAATCCAAATATCGAGCTTCTTATCAAGTTCAAGATATCTTATGTGATTTTCAATTGTTGCGTGTCATACACGTAACCCCTCTTTGTAATCTTTCGCTCAGTAATATGACGATTCAATTCAAGTCTGTCTTTAATTTTGTCATCATCAACTTCAGAATCCCGGCCAAAACCATGATCAACTTCAAGTGAAAAATCTCCAGAACGTAATTTTTCAAACCAATTCTGATACATGCGCTTTATTAAGCAATCAGCACTATATGCTTCAAATACCTCTTGGTGAACCTCAGCGTTTTTTTTTCGCCTTTATGAAAATAAAAAAATAAACATGCTGAAAATGTTTATTTTTGCAACCCGCGTTAAAATTGACCATAAACTAACAGTTTTAAACAAAAAATCCTAAAAATGACATCTACCAAATCTCAAAAGAAAAAAAAATATAAGAATAACAAACAGCAAAATGAACATTACGCTATCGATTTGTGGAAACCGAAATTACTTTCCGGCCAACCCGATATATAGAATTTAAACAGTGGCTTTTTAAAGTATATGTTCATTTTAAATGTTAGCGAGCCTCGCATTCAGTAGCAATAACCATATTACACTTGCAGGTGCCGTATTAGTAAAACAGTCTACACTCGTGAAATAAATTAAGAGAATTTGCATATTTTAACGAATTGCATGAAAATAACTGAACTGAAGGAAAAACCACTGTTTCTAGATAAAAACGCAAATCTTGTACGGCAAATATGTAAGCGTACACGTGTGCATAGGGGGAGCCAGCAGAAAAACAGGCTTTATAAGCGCGTGGAGGGTAAGACGAATTGCATGGTGTTATCTTGCAGCAATCGGTTAAATTCATACTGGAACGGTAAAAATGAGTACCCACCAACATTTAGATGATGGAATGAGGTGGCGAATTGTGCGGAGGCTAGAGGCAGGCCAATCGCAAGTACAGATATGCAGAGAGTTTAATTTAACGCTCAGCATCTGTGTATAACCTATGGAAACAGTTCCAGGATACTGGATCCATCGAGAGAAAGCCTGTGCAAGGTCATCCAAAAGCTACGACGGCCAGAGAAAATCGCTGTTTGTCCATTTTAGCGAGGCGTAACAGAGGAGCTATAGCTTCTCAGCTCTCTCGGGACCTGTATGCAGCCACAGAAACCCGTGTAACAAGAGTTACTCTTTCCAAAAGCCTGAATGAGAGAGGGTTGTTTGTCAGAAGACCGGCTTTTTGAATCCCGCTCACGTCTACGGACAGTAGAGTCTGATTAGCGTGGTGCAGGCAGCATAGTGATTGGAGTACGGAGCAATGGGCGACCGTTCTGTTCACTGACGACTCAAGAACATCTTTAGGGTATTTGACAGCTATCTCTCTGATCGAAGCTTAATTTATGTAAGTAACAACTGCGTCGTCAGCAAGCTACATAACAGAGGGTGTCCTCAAGGCTCATGTGCCGGTCTTGACCTATGGAACCTAACATTAAATAGCATTCTGAAGGCAGACTGGCCAGAGCACACTCAAATATTGGCCTACGCAGACGACGCGGCTCTCATTGTTAAAGGGAGAACAAGAGACGATATTCTACGGAAACCTGTGAAAAATTCTATGAACTATGCACATCCATCAAGCTACAAATTGCCGATCAGAAGTCTCAGGTTCTCTTAATTCCCAAAAAGGGTGGCTCACTGGCCAGGCGACCCAGAATCTTTTTAAATGGCAGCAGACTAAAAATCACACCACAGCTTAAATACCTGGGGTTAATTTTCGATGAAAAATTAAACTGGATCCAGCACGTGATAGAGACAAAAAAACGGACTACAATAATAGCTGCCAAACTCAGACAATGCAGGGTTATCGGTGGGGACTGAAGCCACATATACTAAAAACTCTGTACCTAACAGTAATCGACAAAATTGCAACCTATGCAGCA